TACATAAGCAGTTTGTCTTTCACTTTAAAAATTGGCCAACTCTTGGAAGCTCAACTGTATTTATGTGATTACTCAAATATATGAACACATTTAGTGTGAATGCCATTATATATACAGTAGAGTATATATGGAAACCAGAACTGAAATATATTATGGTCCAGGCTGGATGGTTGTTAATATTCATTGGATAATTCCGATTCAGTTTTGAAGAAAACTCTGGAAATGAACCCGATTAGGCATGCTGAATCAAACCCTATTGAACATCCAATTTCGTTTGACTAAACGTCACAAGGCAACACAATCATATTCATAATAGGTTGGAAGTGTGAGACAGCAGAATCCAAGTGAAGAGCATTAGCAGGAGCTCTTTAATCAAAGGAATGAAATGGGAAATTATCGATTCTAGCGGGGTGTGATGTTTCTCACACCACGTGGAAATATTGGCCTTGGATGGAAAGAACGTATGGTAACGGTCTATGAGGAATTCAGAGGTGAACAAGGTTGTGATGAAATGTCTTCAGGCGTCCTCTCCATCACCTCTGCTGTCACTGCTGTCTATCAGCTTCATCCTCTGCCTCCGTCTGATGGATTCCTGCTGCGGTGTCAGTAATGTGTCGCAGGTCTTGATTGTCACTGCATATTTTGAGGAAGTGGAAGTGCTGTCCAAATCCTTTCTGTGACGAGAGGTAGCTTCAACATGAGACTCTCTCATATTTTCTCTCCCTGTTGTGTTATTTTTAGATTAAGGTGATAACGAAATTAAAAGAGTATTTTTCTTCTGAGAGGGGAAACAATAAGCTGAAACAAAAAAATGATAAAAATCTGGTGCAAGTGAATTAAACCTCAATTACAGGATTATGAATAACTGGAATACATTTGAATTTGAACAAAAAAACATCGAGAAAAACCTAGTTATTATAGAAATTAAGCATGAATGCAGTTATATATATACGCAGTTATATATATACGCAGTTATATACGTATCTTATTTGGTGGCAATGCCAGATGAATTTGCCGTTTATACAGTCCAGGGAACTATTGATTTACAGTAATACAGTTTGTCTGGTTTAATTAGACCAGCGCTACCAGTCATTTAACTTCTTTATGGCAATATGGATTTTTATACCAGTTAGGCTTTCAATCATTAGGTTTCTACTTTGATTAATTTTCCTAAAAGATGTGTGGGAGACATATAACTGTGTCATGATATATCCGGTACCAATTTAAGGTACTTAACTTAAGTAGTTGCCTTTTATGTCACTTCACCATTCTAATCCACTACTACTACTAATACTACTGCTACTACTGTATACCACTACTACCACTTAAGTATGGAAGCTCTAAAAGCTTTTGTTTGTAAATTGTATTTCCGCTGTTTTCCAGGGAGTGAAGTTAATTTCTTTCTTTCCTCAAGTTGCCAAGTTATTTATCTCATTATCCCAACCTTATTTTTTAGAACTACCGAGATAACGGATCAATATTCTTGAGTATATGAGATCATGAATCTTTCTTGAGACAAGTAGATTTATTATTTTGTGATGTTGATATAAATAAATTGCGAACTTGGGAAAATATATAAAATTAACTTGTTATCAGAGGAAACCGAGGAAATGAAATGTTTGAACCATGGGCATTTAGAGCTTCTGTACTCAAGAAACAGATCTTCCAACATCTGGAGTGTTTTAATTGTTTCATTTTTTATCTGACAAACACTCCCAACAACCTGGAATTGTACAAATGTATTGTCATTTATCAACTGAGAAAAACAGCTTCTTATTTTTCTTGATTACTCAGTCAATCAACGTATTCTGTACTAAAGCATTAAGATGAATGTGTGACCTCTGCTGTGCTTGCGCACGTCTTTGTTGTGTTTTAGTTTTTATCGATTTTTTTTTTTTTGTGTTCATGCTCTTAAGCTGTAACGGTGGGTTACGTATTGTAACCCTAGTTATATAAGCACAGGCGGAGCCCTCTACCGGACTCTATGGGTACTACCTCTCAACCATTCTATGCGAGTATTTACTTACTGAGATATTTATAAGTTATAACCGTAGCCGGCCCACCGTATATAAGGCGGCCACGCCTCCCGTTCCCGTCATCCTACACTTCTCTTCAGCGAGGAGCATAGGACAGACAGGGCCCAGAGTAGAGGGTGCTTATATAACTAGGGTTACAATACGTAACCCACCGTTATATCTCACACAGGCTCCGCCCTCTACTGGACTCTATGGGTACAGTGGGGGGGCCTAAACGCCCTGTCGTCCAACAACATCGAGTCACCACACACTGCCCCTGTCCGGCTTTTGGTTAACAGCCACTGCACCGCAGTCTCCTCTCCTCCGGTTGTGACTGTGGAGAAGTGGGGGCCGCAGTTTACCTGGCTGGTAGGGCACACTCAGACACGCTTACCTCGTGAATAATGTGCCTGGAAAACAGTGAGGAGGGCTGGGGGACTCTCCCTGCCCTCCTCACTATGGGCCGGCAGGGAGAGTCCCCCAGCCCTGTATGGGGCTTACTGCGCACCATGTTTCCCGGGTCCCCAAGGAGCATGGGAAAACACAAGTGCATTAGGTCCAGGGGGGGGGGTCAGATACCTGCTGACCCCAGCCCTGCATGGGACCTACCGTGCACCACGCCTCCCAGGTCCCTAAGGAGCATGGGGAGAACGTAAGTGCACCACGTCCCCCACACTCAGACACGCTTACCCGTGAAGAGTGTGCATGGAAAATAGTGAGGAGAGTCCCCCAGCCCTGTATGGGGCTTACTGCGCACCATGTTTCCCGGGTCCCTAAGGAGCATGGGAAAACACAAGTGCCTGCCTCAGCAAGCACAGATGACGAGAAGGAGCCAGACATGTCCAAGAGATAAAACCTTATGAAGGGGCCTGGCGTGGACCAAGACGCCGCCGTACATTTGTCCTCCACACTCACTCCGTTAAATAAGGCTGTTGACACGCCATACCCCGTGTAGAGTGTGCACGGACCCCCGTGGGGAAGGCTCTCCCGCCTGTCCCTAGGCATGTGAGATGCACTCGCAGAGCCATCCTGCCAGGCGTTTCTTGGACAGAGCTTTACCGGGCACGCCGCCCCCAACACAAACAGTTGTTCAGTGCGCCTAGTGGCAGCCGTGCGCTCCACATAACATGCCAGCACATGCACCGGACAGAGGAGGTGCAATTTAGCCTCCCTGGCCCCAATATGGGGTCGAAGATTAAAGCCCCCTAACTGAATAGCCCTTGACCTGAACAAGCTCCTTAGGCCCTTGGGAACAAAGGAGGGGTTCGGTCTGAGTGTCGCCCCGCTACGGTCACCCCGGCTCAACAAGCAACTTGGGTGCACCGACAGAGCGGTCAGCTCTGACACTCTCCTTGCTGAAGTTAATGCAAGTAGCAACGCTGTCTTCCATGACAGTGCTTTCAGGGAAGAGAGCTCCAGAGGCTCAAATGGTTCTGTGACCAGAGCCTCGAGCACCAACGGCAGGTGAGTTCCCACTGCGGGGTGGAGGCGTGCACTACTGGGAGCTGCCTCCTGACCCCTGCAAAAACCGCGACATAAGCGGCTGACGGCAAAATCCCTCATGGCAGGACGAGATGGCTACTGCATACACTTTAATTGTGGAATGAGCAAGCCCCCTGTCCACCAGTAACTGTAAGTAGGACAGAATAGAGCCCATCATACAAGATAGGGGCTCTAGACTCCCCTCTTCACACCATCGCTGGAATCCCAACCACTTCGGCCTGTAACAGGCTGTGGTGGATCCTGCTCTTGCTGCCTGGACAGTCTGAATAACTTTGTCAGACAGTCCCCCCTGTCTCAGCCTGTCCCTCTCAGGAGCCAAGCCTGGAGAGGTTGGCCCAGAGTGGGTAACTTCACAACCATTACATGGAGTAAGCCCCATTTCTGTTTCCTGAAAGGGCACAACAAACACAGCCTGTTTCCTTGAACGCACCGCGGCCTGCTCTCGGGGGGGGGGGGGGGCAATAGCGTCTCTTGAACCCGCACAGTGCTTTGACAGCACTTCGGTTTATTCCACTCACGTGCACGCGCCCACCTATACTGGCTCCTATACTGGAGTTTACAGCGGGGGCGGGGAGTGTGGGACAGTGTTCTTTCCTCTGGGGATGGGCAAGAATGCAGCTCTCTGCCAAGCCTGCTGCCCGCTGGGAGCAGCTGCGCTCCGCCGCCATAGTCATCACCTAGGGGGATGTACAGCCCTGGGCGGTGGACTTCCATGGACCGACAACGGCAAACGGAGCCATCCGCCCCACTGGAATGGCGAACGTGAATGGCACCGCCTCTGCCATATCCTGGTCCCCCAAACACTCGAAGCAGAGGTGGTGGGGATCGGCGCCCGCTATTTAAGCCAGGGCACAAAGAACAGGCCCGGGTCTCTAGAAGTGGTGACTCCATGGAGGTATGATAACTCTTTCTTCTTCTTTCAAACGTTTTACTTTCTCTGCTTCAGTTGTTGCTCGCTCGCTGAAGAGAAAAGGGTGACGGGAACGGGAGGCGTGGCCGCATTCAGGTAGTCCCGCCCCGGGGGGCGGCTACGGTTATAAATATCTCAGTAAGTGAATGCTCGCATAGTATGGTTGAGAGGTAGTACCCATAGAGTCCAGTAGAGAGTGGAGCCTGTGTGAGATATAACTACATTTTTGCTCTCTGCCACTCGATGCATTTGAGTCAAAGCAGCTTAATTATTTATTGGGGCAGATTGATTTGCTCGTCTATCCGTTGGCAGGCGGGTGCTCGACAGATAATGGCTTTGTAACTGATGTTGTGGTGGTCTGCTGATTGGATGATTGATAGATTGTTCGGCAAAATAAAATGAGTTGGGCTCAGGCAAAGGGCTGTTTGAGAATCGTGAAAGGGGATGACATTTCCCTGAGTACAATTTAGTGAATGAGGCCGGGCTTGCCCACCCTGCTGTAATATTTGATCTAACCACTCAACATTGTTTGTCATATTTGTCTAAAAGATGGTCTTGTTTTCCCTCTGCAGGCTCTCTACAACTCAATCAAGAATCAGAAGCTGCAATGGACACTGTAAGTCTTCTTATGTTCATATTTTTCACCTTAATTTGTTCTACTTCTCTGTAACGATGATTAACTCAACCACACATTTAAGGAGACACTACTGGTGAAATGGGTAAAAATCTAACTTATAAATATCACCATGAAACCAGCCGAGGTGTTTACTTATTTAAGAGATTTATTTTCTGTATTTCAAGTATAAATTATGCAAATGAGTGCTAACTTTTGCTGAATTTAGGACACATTTAACGACACAAATACAAAAAAGTGCAGTTATCCAACATCTAAATGTGTATTTTGTATTTTTTTTATTTATGAATAATGCATGAGAAAAGGATGTGTTTGGCTGTAGTGTCCTGCCTTCAATACACACACACACACACACACACACACACACACACACACACACACACACACACACACACACACACACACACACACACTGTCCTGAATGACAGGACACGACAAGGGATATTGATAAATCCGTTTAGCGTCTTCATTAATGACGTGAGCGTTGTCTGGCATGCGAAGGAAACATTAGTGTGTCAAGGGTTGCTATTCTCGATCACAGTTGCAGAGCGCCTCAGAGATGCCAATTAAGTCACTAGCTTTCCAAGCTTTGTTGCCATAGTTACGGCACCATGGATACGACTCCATAGCTACCGCATTGCTCTTTCCTCCCTGTGTTCTCTCAGTAGCAAACACACACAGGGTACCAGATGGATATGCCCATGTACAAATGTACACAGGAAACGTGTTTGTGCGGCTTCAGTACATGTGAATGTGAAGGGGAAGAAGAAAAACAATGACTAACAGAGAGAGAGGGATGATTTAAATGGCTCTTTACCTGCATCCTGTACAAAGGTGTGACCACAGCCTCCCACTACCTCTCTAAAAATAGCTGCAGCAGGAAAAAAAGTCGAGGAGGAGATCCGCAGAGAGCCAGGCAATCCAGTTTAAACATCTCCACTGACATATAGACAGCTATTTAAACACTGCCACCACATAAGAGGCCATGCGGGGATAGAAAATATGTCATTTGTTTAAGACGCGTAAACACCACCGAGCAAATGGAGAATCCACCTCCAAACAAAAAGTAATTACAGATTAAGAGACTCGGCTCCTAGCAGTGTTTTTTTCCTCTTTGGCAGCAGAGATATGCACATTTTTCTTTTTTCAGCATGCCAGTATCATTGAAATAGAGTAAATCGTGCTCTGAAAACACTTTTTGGAAGCATAGCACAGTGTCACTTTTGCCACCACGTTCACACCCTCCTTGCTTAGTTGATGCATATTTCATCACACAGACAGAGGACATTTTTTCACTTGCTAACTAAGTTGACTGCGAACACAACACCCTGTGACACACTTCTGTTGTGTATCCATTTTGAGGCTGCTTTGGTTTGTCTTGCTAGGAATGTTTGTCCTCATGTTGTGTTCGCAATTTGCAGATTGTAATCACAGCAAAACAAAGTGCGTATTATATTCTGTTATACTTTAACAGTTTTCACACAATGCATTTGCCTCTGTATTCTGGTGCATGATGAAAAACAATTCTGTGAAAGACGATAAACATAATGCATTTTGCTAGTTTATATGAGAATAGTATACTAGAAAAAGAGTGGATTTCAAGGATTTGAAGAGATACGTTTTAAGCCATTAAAGGCCCTGTCACACTGTCCCGAAATTGACACCCGATGGACACACGATAAGGAAATGTTCAAATTCGGCTGTGATCGTAGCAACATCGGGCCATTCGTGAGGGCATCTAAGCCATCGTATGACCGCCGGTGGAGTTTCTCAGGCTCCGGCAGCAACTTCGTGAGCGGCAACTTCGTGAGGCACTCGTGAGGGCATCTTGTCAAATCGTGTCATCTTCGTGTTATCATCGGTGCATTCGCCCTCACTCTGATCGGGGCGAATGCCCGATGGCACCGATGATAACAAGATGCCCTCACGATGGCCTTACGAAGGGCAACATTTACACACAAATTCAACACGAAAATGAACCTTCGCAAGGTCCTTCGGCAATTTTTTGGCATGCCAAAGATTTTGCCACCGCTCACGAAGTTGCTGCCGGAGCCTGAGAAACTCCACCGGCGGTCATACGAAGGCTTAAGATGCCCTCAGTCACGAATGGCCCGATGTTGTTACGATCACAGCCGAATTTGAACATTTCCTTTATCGTGTGTCCATCGGGTTGTTTTATTGCACAACAAAATCATGTAAATATATTATGTAAATAACCCAATTTGTGTTCTGTGAAACTAAAAAGGATATAATATATTATTTTGAAGGACAGTTGACAGGAAGTTGTTGTTATGGAAACAACATTACGGAGAAAACGTAATATTTTCTACATATAACGACGGATAAAGTAAAGAACAAAGTCTGAAAATATCAGTACAGTATCATAGTACTGTAACATAATTGTTTTTGGTACTTTCATTGCAGTTGTATGTCTTAAATGTAATGTAAATGTTGCCTTTGTGTGTGGTTCGGGCCATCTTCGTGCGAAATTCACAATTCCATATTCGTGTGTCCATCGGGTGTCAATTTCGGAACAGTGTGACAGGGCCTTAAAGGGCAGAGTTGGCAGTAAAAATTGAATTTTTGTATCCTTGACTTTAAAGTGGGGCTTGTCTAATATCATCAGGGAGACTATTCCAGGTCTGTGTTGCAAATGAGTATTGGATATAAACAATAAAATAGGCAGTAAAAGAAAGAAAACATTTTAAATACTTCACTAAATGGACAAATTAGAAGAAAAACAACATGATATTTACATGTACATACGTATATATATACAGTACTGTACATATTATTGTAGTATGAGTTTTTTCTAATGCAAATATAAACTTTTTATTCTATATATAGAGCGGTAGTATTGATTTTCTAATTTACTAGCAGATTGAGGCTTAATAAAAACACTTTGATTGAGGTGTGATTTCAGACACTAAGACAAACCATTTGCTGCAATAACATGGATACAACTTGTATGTGAAATCTGAAATATTGTGTTATTACATTACATTACATTACATTGCATTTAGCTGACGCTTTTATCCAAAGCGACTTACAATAAGTACATTCGACCAGGAAGACACAACCTTGAAGAAAACAGAATCATATAAGTACATCAGGTTTCATAGAGCCAAACATTTCAAGTGCTACTCAACTGGCTTTAGGTAAGCCAGTCCTTTATTAGTATAAAAGTGCTTCGTTAATAGTTCTAACGCTCGAAGTGGAGTCAAAAGAGATGAGTTTTCAGTTTGCGCCGGAAGATGTGCAAGCTATCTGCCGTCCTGATGTCAATGGGGAGCTCATTCCACCATCTTGGAGCCAGGACAGCAAACCCACGTGTTTTCGCCGATGGGAACTTGGGTCCCCCTCGCAGCGAGGGCGCAACGAGTCGTTTGGCTGATGCAGAGCATAGTGCACGCGCTGCGGTGTACGGTTTAACCATGTCCTGGATGTAGGAAGGGCCAGATCCATTCACAGTATGGTAAGCAAGTACCAGTGTCTTGAAGTGGATTCTAGCAGTTACCGGAAGCCAGTGAAGGGAGCGGAGGAGCGGAGTGGTGTGGGAGAATTTAGGAAGGTTGAAGACCAGACGAGCCGCTGCATTCTGGATGAGCTGCAGAGGTCGGATGGCACATGCAGGTAGACCAGCCAGGGGGGAGTTGCAGTAGTCTAGGCGTGAGATGACGAGAGCCTGGACCAGAACCTGAGTCGCTTTCTGAGTCAGCTGGGGACGTATCTTCCTGATGTTGTAAAGCGTGTATCTGCAGCAACGGGTTTGTAGCAGCGATGTTTGCAGTGAAGGACAGTTTGTTATCTAGGGTCACACCCAGATTCCTTGCAGTCTGAGTCGGGGAAACAACTGAGGTGCCGATGTTGATTGTTAGGTCAAGAGTGGGACAATCTTTTCCCGGGAGGAAGAGCAGCTCAGTCTTGTCAAGGTTGAGCTTGAGGTGGTGAGCAGACATCCACTGAGAGATGTCAGCTAGACAAGCAGAGATGCGTGCAACGACCTGGGTCTCTGAGCGGGGAAAGGACAGAATTAATTGGGTGTCATCAGCGTAGCAGTGGTAAGAAAAACCATGCGGGCTAATGACTGATCCGAGCGAGTTTGTGTACAGGGAGAAGAGGAGGGGACCAAGAACAGAGCCCTGAGGGACCCCCGTAGTTAATTGACAAGGGTCGGACTCAGACCCTCTCCAAGTCACCCTGTAGGTACGGTCTTTCAGGTATGAGGTGAGGAGGGAAAGTGCAGAGCCTGAAACTCCAAGTTTTTGGAGAGTGCGAAGGAGGATCTGATGATTCACCGTGGTCGAATGCAGCAGACAGGTCCAATAGGATGATGACAGAGGAGAGGGATGCAGTTTTGGCAGTGTGCAGTTCCTCCGTGACAGCAATGAGAGCAGTTTCTGTGGAGTGACCTGCCTTGAAACCAGACTGGTGCGGATCCAGAAGGTTGTTCTGATTGAGATAACAGGAGAGTTGTTTAAAGACAGCGCGTTCAAGTGATTTAGACAGGAACGGGAGGAGAGAGACAGGCCTGTAGTTTATAACATCAGACGGGTTGAGAGTGGGTTTCTTTAGGAGAGGGTTTACTCTTGCCTCCTTGAGACTGTTTGGAAAGTGACCAGAAGTTAGAGAAGTGTTGATGAAATGGGTGAGAAACGGTAGAATATCAGGAGCGATAGTCTGAAGGAGGTTTGAAGGGATAGGGTCCAGAGGACAGGTGGTAGGGCGGGCAGAGGTAATGAGGGTAAGAACCTCACTTGGAGAGAGAGGGGAAAAGGAGGTAAGTGTGTTGGTGGAAGGAGGGTCTGGTGACCCAGCGGTGAGTAAAGGTGAGTCAGAAAAAGAAAAGCGAATATCATCAACCTTTTTTTCAAAGTGGGTAACAAAGTCGCTTGACAGAAGTGAGGAGGGGGGAGGAGCTTTTGGAGGGTCCAAGAGGGTGGAGAAGATGGAAAATAGTTTTTTAGGATTGGAATAGGAAG